AAATATTACATATCTAATAAATTTTCAATATAAATATTTTTTAATTAGTTCAATGAGGTGTAAAGTTGTAAAATTTACACATTATATTTGTAATTTTTATTAAAGTGAGGGGTGCATTTACACATCCCTAAGCTCTGTCGTTGGCTCTAGCTCAAATGACTACTCTAGCTCAAGTGACTACTGGGATCAACTCATCACCTAAACTTTTTAACTAACCAAGAAAAAAAGATTATTTTCCTAATCTCATAGGAAAAGTGTCATTCTATATTTGAGAACAAATTGACTATAAATAGTTATACCACACTCATGTATTATTGGACTACACGCAACATAAGGCCTGTGATAAAAATGAGTAAATAAATAAAGATATTGTCGTTGGAAAGTTGATACGCATCCCCCAGCTTGATTACTTTTCAAAAGGATAAAGCAAAACTTTAAACTGTAGCTACCAAACTCCAAATAATTACAAATGCGGAACACAAGAAACAGGAAATTAATTCGTGGAGAATAGAATTAAGCCACACAGCTTGTTAACTCCGAGATGATCACGTAATTATGTTAAGTGTTTTGGTTTTTACGATGATTAACAAAATCAAGAGTTTAATTGTTTAATTTACTAATTCTATTATAAATAATAATGATTGAGAGAAGAAAAGAAGAGAGGCACAACCTAGGAAAAATAAGAAAATGAGAGTAAGGGAGGGAGATTTCTTATTTTAATATATAAAATAGAACTAAGATATTCTCTATTTATAAAGAATAATGTATACAACCCAAGTCTAATAAAGAAGGGTTAAAGGATAATTTGATTTTTAAACTATAGGTCCAATAATATTTAGAGCCTTAAACTCATTTTTGATGCAATATTCTACTTCAACTTTTGAAAACGGCACAATGTAATTGTTATTGTTAATAAAAGTTAACTTTGACTATTAATTGATTAGAAAATAATAAAAAGACCTAAGAATGACAACTAAGGACTAAAAAAATTACAGAGAATAATTCAAAAATTACAAATAATGACCCAAAATATTACAAAAGAGGACCGAGTAAATTTTATTGATTTTTTTTTGTAATTTTTTAAGTCTTTTACTATCATTTTCTGATCGATCGATTGTTAAAGTTAATTTTTGTTAACAGTAGGAGTTACATTATATTGTATCATTTTTAAAAGTTGTGAAAAATTGCATAAAAATTGAGTTTAGGGTTTTAAATACTTCTAAACTTATAGTTTAGAGGTTAAATTGTTATTTAACCCTATAAAAGAATAAACAAATTGAAAATCAAAATAAATCTCTAGTGTCTCTCCATTTCTTGCTTACTATTTTCAGCCAATATATATGACAATCAATCTAGCAAAACTTGGAATTTAGCTAATTAAGTATGTCTCTCAGAGATCAACCAGTGGATATATTAACACAGGGATCGTTCATCAGAGTTTGTCATATATAGTACATATAAAAGATTCATTTTAGTCGATCCACCTTATTATCTAATTAAATTGTTAATTTTGTCTAAAAATAAAATATTTTTAATTTTATCCCTTATTAAAATAAAAAATTTTACATTTGCATTATATTCTCTTTCATAATTAATGAGTTTAAATAAGCTAATATTAAAAAATGTAATTAATATTCTATCAAGTTTATTTTATTAAAAATAAAAAAATATTTCAAAAAAAAAAAACACGTTATGACAAGGACAGAATGGAGTATCTATTATATCTTTATCATCGTTACTCGAAATAATTATATTTCTAAACTATATTGGTTCATATGTGTAACCATTAAAATATTATTTAGAAAATGACCAAGTAATATGCATCCATGTTATGAATATAAAAATTATAAAATAAGCGTGTATATTATAGATATGCTATATTTCATAATTATTTTATTTTTGTTTTTAAAGTTATAAACTAGAAAAAATGACAATAAAATTCTCTTGAATTATATAAATGATAATCTAATCTCTCAAAATGTCATAATTACATTGAAGTCCTTATAAACTTCTTTGTCAATAAATTTTAAAGTGAAAAGATCATTTTATCCGTATTGAAAATAACAAGCCCCACTTACAATTTTTGTTTAAGGAATAAAAATTTTTATTCTGTGAATTATAAGAATTGAATAAAAAATCATAACTTGTCAAGTGTAATTTTTTTTATTGAAAAAAAAATCCTCAATTATAGTTTTTACTTAAAGAATAACAATTTTTGTTCTGTAAATTGTAAGAGTTGAACAAAAAATTATAACTTATCAAGTGTAATTTCTATTATTGAAAAAAAGTTTTTAAAATAACAAACTCCATTCATAACTTTTATTTAAAAAATAATAACTTTTATTCAAAGAATTGCAATAATTGAACAAGAAATTATAATTTTTTAATAAAGGTAAAATAATTTTCTCAATTTAAAGTTTATTGACATAGAGTTTACTAAACGTTTTAGTAAAATTATGATATTTTAAGAGATCAAATTATCATTTATATAATTTGAGAGATTTTATTATCATTTTTTTGTAAACTATTATATATCAATTAACCTTCACTTGTTATTGGTTTTTTTTTATTTTAAATCAATAAATTTTTTATTTATATTTTTGTTATTGTCATTTATCTTTCTTTGCTTTTTTTTTCCACTTAAAATAGTACTCTCTTTGTTAGAAAATATAAGGCATTTTTTATAAAGTTGGATATTAAAAAATGTAAGGCATTTTTAATTTTTTGAGGTATAATCATTACCTTTTTTTTAAAAGTATTCCTATTGATAATAAATTTGTATTTGTTGTAGGGTGTTTAATATAAGTAAATATAAAAAGATAAGATTGGTTAGAAAGTAGGTAATTACTTTATTGAGGGATGAGATTCAGTTAAAAATGTTTTAATATAATTTATTAGATCACCATTTAACTATGGTTCAATGATTGATCAAAGCTGGTTAATTAACCACCGTTGATTGCTGGCGACTAGCCAGTAGCCACCATCGCCTACGTTTGTTAATCATCATTGGTCATCGTTGTCTACCAATGAGTCACTATCGTGAACCATTCTAGTCATTACCGTTTGTTATCAGTCATCACCCACTAGTTAAACACCGCCAACACCAAAAGCTACTATCATCATTCACTTCTAACTACTGCCTTCAACTGATAGTGGCAACTGCTAAGAAATGATGCACAGAAGCAATGTTTCTAAAAATCAAATCCCAATGAACTGAGATCAGTGAACCACATGTCCTTGATTCAACTGATTAAATTAATAATATAATAATTAAATAAAAAATAATATTTATATATACATACATACATATTTTTAAAAACCGGTCAATCATTTTAGATCTCAAGTTTTCAAAAATAGCTCAGGTCAAAGTGAGACAATTCAAGTTAATTGATAATATGGGTCAAATGATTAAACAAGAGTATTCAACTATTTATATCAATGTAGGTCTTAAAATAGTACTCCAACAATGGACATGGTTGATGGTGGCCTAGGACAACAGTGATGGCGCAGGGAAGGCGCAATGTCCAATAATGATTAGTAGCTTGAGATGACAAAACATGTTTTAAAAAATATAATGTTTAAACTAGTTAATTTTTTAATATTAAAAATATTTTGAATTGAATATAATCAAACATATATTTTTCTCTTGTTTTATTTAAAAAAATTTTAAAAATTGATCTATAAAATAATTTTCAAAATAAAAAATGGTAACAACAACAAGCAAGGCCTTAATACGTTTTAATGGTTAGGTTGATTTTTTTTTTTTTCCGTCTCCCCCGATACGTCCAAGAGTTTTGAAACTTTGACCATTGCCAACACATACTTTTATCATATTTGAGCTACCCAAAGGTATTATGGTTTTGACAGAATGACAGTATAATCCTAACAGCTTAGAGTAATGACATTGAAGTCCCAACAAAATTTTCTAGGAAAATAAGGTCATAAACATTGATTGAGACAGTTTATGAACATGAATCTAATTATAATTTATATATATTATTTAAAATTAAAATTTTAAATTTATAGTTATTTAAATTGATATTTGTGAGTTATCTTAAAATTTTTTTATCAAAGATTTAACTGTCATTAATTCAATCTCTTATACTTAATTATCATTCTCCTTACAATTTTTAAGCTAAAGTGCACCTCAAGTCTTAAAGACTTCATGTTGGTTATTTAATTTTATAAAGCATTTTTTAGTTATTTAACTTTAATACCATTTTGTTTCATCAACAAAAAAATAATCCTACATTAAATTTTTAAATATTGACAAAATATTATCAAATATTATTATATTAATTTTAATTTTTTTAAAATAATAATGATAAACACAAGAAGTAATTGTTTGAAACTAATGTTATTGTGGTTAAAAGACTGAAAAGGCTACTTTATAAAATTAAAAAATGACCAACTTAAAACTCTATATAAAATTATATGATCTAAAATACACTTTATTTTAAGTTTTAATGCCTGATATTTCCCTCTCACTTTCTCTTTCCATCCTTTCTGTATGCCAAAAGCACCAATACTTTTCACAAGAATATAGTAAAGTTTAAACATGCTAGCCTCCTCCAAATGATTATATATATACAGTGTCACATGTATCCACTCAACTTTGTAAAATTTACAAGTATGTATGACAATTTTTGAAAATTTGCACCCACTATCTCAATAATTTTGAGCCACTACTAAATTCAAAATAAAACACATTTGAGTTTTAGAAAAAGTTTAAGCCTTTAAAATTTTACTTAAATCTAATATATTTTAAGTTGTCAATCTATTAAATTTAAATTTATACTACAATTTTTTAGTCATATAATTTTATATTATCTTTCACAGTATTTTTAATTTTTATTATTTTATATTTTACGCCCCAATGATTTAGGTCCAGCGTCCATCACTGTTATATGTGTGTAGGTATAAAACCCAGCAAACCACCAGACAGAGATACTGGTGAAGCCAGAAAGCTTGTTACTCTGCAAGTTCTGTGAGAGAGAGAGAGAGAGAGAGAAGGCCACCATGGATTTGGGTAGTGAGGTGGAGAAGAAGATCAAATTTGACCCTAAAATGGAAAGGCCACAAGAATATGCTTTACACTGCGACTGGGTTTCCTTCAAGACCTTCTTCCACAACGAACCCAAAGCCCTCATCCAGACATTCGATCTCGCCGGAAACACCGCCATCCAGGTGGCCACCCGGTCCGACGACCCCGACCTCATCCGGCAACTCCTCGACATGCTTCCGGACGACAACGATCGCCGTCAAGCACTGAGGACGGGGAATGCTCACAAGAACACACTTCTCCATCAGGTCATTTTCTGCGACAATCTAGAGATGGTCGACACGGTGCTCAACTACGAGACGGACAAGAGGCTGAAGAAGATTGATGATGATGAAGATGATCTGTTGGAGCTGCTGAACGACCTCAGCGAAACGCCGGTGTACCGGGCCGCCAAGTACGGACGGCTGAGGATGTTGAAGCACATGGCCAGATTAGTAGACGATATCAAGAAGCATTTTCACAGACGACAGCCAAAGCTGGACATCACTTCCATTCTTCACATCGCTATAATTGGCCAACATTTTGGTATCTATATATTATTTGTTTTCTCTTACATATTCTTAGATCTTAGATTAAAAAAAAAAAACATTTTGGAGAATATATGGCGCCTACCATGCTCAAATCTGACTTTCTTCGAGGACTACTAAAAAGAAGGAGATAACAACAAATACGGACGGACAAGCGTTTATAATGCTACACTTATCTCTAATACTCAACCTTTTAATTATTTTTCCATTTATTTTAACATTAGATTATACTCATTATCTTTAAAAATATAAGATATTTTTTAAAAAATTAAATATTTAAAAATATAAAATATTTTTAGTTTTTTGAAGTGTAATCATTGCTTTTTTTTTAAAGTATTCCTATTAATAATGACTTTATATTTATTATAGGGTCTTTAATAAAGATAAATATAAAAAAAAAGAGTTAGTTAAAAAGTAGGTAACTACTTTATTAAAAAGTGAGATTCGGCTAAAAATGTTTTACATTTTTAAACATTTTTAAACAAAGGGAGTATTAAAATGAGAGACATTGTGACATTTTAGGGTGAAAGAATAAATTTTAGGGTGATATTTTAATTTAGGGTAGTATTTTCTGTAATTTTTTGGATTCTTATTTGTAATGGTGAGGTTTTTGCTGATTTTTTTAATAATTTTTGAGGTTTTTTCAGACATTTTTTTGATTAATGAATAATGAACTTTTATTAACAGTAAAAATTAAATTATATTTTTTTGAAAGTTGAAGTAAAATATTACAAAAAAATGAGTTGAAGATCCAAACATTCTAAAACCAATAGTTTAGGGGCTATTTTTTTTTCCTGATTTTTTTATGGTGATAAAATGATAGATTTTTGTATTTTTCTTTTTTTAACATTTTTGAAATAAAATAAATGAAAGCTGCATAATTTTAGGGTATTTTATTTATTTAAAAAACTAATAAAAAATACAGAGCCGCACCACTTCTTCACCACAGTAAAATATCAGCAGTGTCTAATTTTATATAAAAAGTAAGAAAAATAAATATGAAGAAGATTGAGGGGTGCAGATGTGGCACTGTGGTTATCGAAGAAGGAAGGGATAGAGAAAGTAGCGTTCGAGAACGATGGGAACAGATTGACGTGTCTTCAATTGCTTTCCAGAATGCCTTCTGTTTTCCGGAGCTATAATTCCCAGTCTGGTTTCATCGACAATCTCATTTATACTCGTACGTATGTATACTCTTTAGATTCTTTTAATTTTGTAGCTATTTATTAATATGTAATTTGGATGTACAGTTCTTCCAGACAAAGGTTATGATGATGATGATGAAGATGATGGATCTGTGAGAGGGAAGGGAGATTTAGAAACTGGAAAGAAAAACCTCAAGAAACACATCTCATCCTCACCTTCTGGTACATACCTCGCCACTCATCAGCAACTAATTAATAACAAAACTGGTTTCTGTTTGAAGTACTAATTAATCATCAGACCAAGTTCTTCATATGAATGCTACTATACATATATTGCAGTTTTCTCAAGGATTTACTACACTCTCTGGAAAATTGCCGCCAAAGGTCAGAGTCTTTGCTCCTTCATCATCATCATCATCACAATAATAATAATCATAATCATGTATGTTGTTCCTGCAATGTAATTAGTGAATTATGGGGAAAATTTCTTTAGGATCTAACTGTCATTCTCTTTTATAAAATTGTCATACCCAAGGTCCTTAAATTTCAAATAAAAAAAAATACCCTTATATCTAATCTGCAATACGGTTCACTTATAAATTTAAGCTGAGAAGAAGATGAATTTTAAATTATACTAATTAAAAACTCGTTCTTCAGATATATATGATCTCAACTCAAATTATAAGCTTATAACTAATATTAGTTATAATCATGTGGAATTTATAATTCAATTTCTAATCAGATATGATTTTTTTATAATTCACAAGCTCAATTATTTAATGTTTACATCTTATTTCATGAGATTTAAAATTCAAGAGTATTCTGGCCCCAAAAAAAAAATCAACAGTATTGTCAATTGATTAAGGACATTTTCGGCCATCTATCAGGTCTCGCCCCGGGGGGCAGGGGGAAATTTAAAACCCCATGTCACTAATAACAACTTCCAAACAAGGGGCCGAATTGTCACTTCCCTTCAATTCTTTTTAATTAAGTGTGAAATGTAGATAAGGGAAAATTACTAATTAAGAAAGACCAAATAGTCAAATTAATTATTTAGGAACAAAAAGAAGGAGATCAAAGCCTTCAAAGTGAATTAAGATTATATGAGAAAATACTTATACCAACAAGGAAAAATGACAATTAGATCCTAAAAAATTGAGTTAATGATAGTTCAGATCCGACAAAATTTTGTAAAGAAATTATAAATATTAATTTAAATAGTTACATTTAATATTTAAATATTTATTTACAATTAAAATTCTTAAATTTATGATTATTTAAACTGATATTTCCAACTTATTTTTGAAAAAATTTGTCAGAAATTTAAGTATCATTAATTTAAAGTTCTGCAACCTAACAGTGATTGTCCAAGTACATTTGCAGAATGGGATACAGTGAAAGAAATCTGGGAGAGAAAGAAGAAGCACATGCTAGCAGCGTTACTAGCAGACTTCTTAGTAAGCCGAGACAACTCATGGATGGACACCAAACACGGAGAACCTCGAACCGAGGTTGTCCTGCCGGTGATTCAACCGTCCAACATCGCCGCCACGAAGAAAGCCAAGCTCGAAAAGACACATTCGCTGGAGGGACCCATTCCCTGCAAGGAGTACACGCCATTGCTGCTGGCAGCCAGCACCGGCATTGTCGAGATAGTGAAGAAAATCATCGATCTTCATCCTGACGCCATCTCTCACGTCAGCCAGCACGACGAGCAGAACGTGCTTCACGTCGCCGTCAAGCACCGTCAGAAACAGATCTATAAGCTGCTCAAGAAATATGGAACTCTCAGACGGTTGGGATGTCAGATGGCGAATCAAGGTCGGACTCTGTTGCACCAGGTTGCGAGGATGGATTATTATGATGGAGGCAATCAACCTGGTGTTGTGTTTCAACTTCAGGACGAGTTACGTTGGTTCGAGGTAAGCATTGCTAATTACCCTTTTAGTGTGAATTTCCATAGTGATATCATTTGTTGGATCGCCCAGAAACAGGAGACAAGAGAAATGGGCGAAGGATATATATTTATGAGTCAATTTTTTATTATTTTATATTAATTATTAAACTTAACTTTATTTTATATTCAAGTCCCACGTCGTCTCTTATATTCAATTATATTGGAAAAACTTAATAATACTTGCGGTAGATTCGAACATGTTGGACATTTCCTTTCCGCTCCTCACATTAATTAAAACTCCAACAAGTGAGATTTATCTTATTTTCAATATTTAAGAATTTTGTAGAAAGAAAAATGTAGTTGCAATAATGACTCCAAGGTTCTAAGAAAATAATAATGTAAAACTAGAAAGTTAAATGATGGAATATAAATAAAATATTTTTATTTATCTTAATTAATTATTGTTATTATTTTAGTAGGATTGTTTGTGAAAAGATAATATTTAAAATATTCAATATCAATATTTTAAATATCATAGAAATATTTCAATCAAAAAATAATTTTATAGAAAGAGTAATGTACGTAGTTGCAATTATGACTAAGCTTGGAGGTTCTATGAAAATAATATACAACCAGAAAACTAAACGATGGAATATAAATAAAATATTATTATATTTATTTTAATTATTTATTATTATTATTATTATTATTATTATTATTATCTTTTAAAAATTAATATCCATTAGGATTTAATTATATTTTTAACAATATTTTTTTAAAATTATTTTAAATTTTATTTATTTTCAAATATGATATCTAAATTAATAATTAGAAATGTTTTTGTTATTTTTTTAATTTTAGATAGATTATGATTTGAGTTTGAATTTGATTTAGATTTTCTCCTCCTTTATATTCAGATTAGATTTAAGTATTGAATAACAAGTTTATATTTTCTTGGCCTTTTCTCTATCTTTCTTTTTCTTTTACGCCTTCCCATTTCACATACTTTTGTTTTATATTTTTGGATACAAGAAGGTTAACATATGATTATGGCATATGTATATATATATGCAGAGAGTCAAGAGGATAGTGCCTTGTCCTCACCAGTTGTATTGCAACGACCATAACTTAACCGCAAGAGAACTTTTTGATTTAGAGCATTTGGAAATGCTCAAGGAAGCCCAAGAATGGATCAAGGGGACAGCTCAGTCCTGCTCCGCCGTGTCGGTCCTTGTCGCCACCGTGGTCTTCGCCGCGGCCTACACCGTCCCAGGCGGCACCGACGACAACGGCGTCCCTGTCCTCCTCGACTCTCCGCTCTTCCTCTTCTTCACCATCATGGACGTCGTAGGGCTCGCAAGCTCTCTAATCTCAGTGATGATGTTCCTCTCAATCCTTACGTCGCCGTTTCAGATGCAAGAGTTCTATAAATCTCTGCCCAGAAAACTCACAATGGGCTTCACGTTGTTGTTCATATCGTTGACCACCACGTTGCTGGCTTTTGGGTCAACCATTTTGCTGACGATTAGGATGGAGAACAAGAGATGGAGTTCAAGTTTGATTTACAGTGCCACGTTCTTCCCTGTGACTCTTTTTGGGTTGACTCAATTTCCGATCATCATGGCCGTCAAGTATAGAATGAAGAGACTAAAGAAGACTATAAAGAAGGTGATTCCGAATGATGTCATTACCACCATATCCACCAAACCCAAGAAGAAAAGAGTTTATTCAAAATACGTATGAGCATCGGTCAAACGCTTAAATCTGATGTCTGATGCAAGAACATGGCGTGTTCAAAGGAGAGAGATTGGAGAACTGATCAACCTTTGTGTTTATCTCTGTCCTTGCAAACATCGTACCAACAGTATGGTCTGAAGCATTAATTAAATGTTTAAGTTATTGCATGTTCCTATAATTTCCATATCCTAATTTAATTTGGAGGCGTGCTGTGTTTCTTCGGATTAGAGTAATTGGTGTAATGTATGCAACTTCTTGTATAAAATCTACTGTATGAATGTATGCATGTTTGTTTGTTTATATATATAGCTTGTGCATCTATGGTATCATTTGCACGTTGTTTGATGATTATATTTTTCAAGTAATGTGTATTATTTTTGTGTAAATAAATGCCTGAATAATACTCATTCTTTATCATCAAATTTCATATGTGTATGTATATTTATGTATTGGACACCCTTGTTTGTTGTGTTTTAATACACGAAATAGTTTGTGTATTTGTTTTAATTTTATACTTTATATTGATATTGGTTGGGAATGAATAAAATGGAAATATTAAGATGGATGTACACGCATCCACAAAAAATAAAATTTATAATAAGCATATATATTAAAAAAAGTAAACATGACATTTATTAAATAAAAAATGGTAGTAAAAAATTGTTTTGAAATATTTTGAACATGTACATAAAAGATTGGGAGAGTTTTCAATAAGAAGAGTTAAACAAATAGTCTTGAGTTATGTAAAAAAAGGTTTACTTGTTAATAAAGTATAATGACGTGTAGTTCATTATGATAAACTCATCTAATAGGATAAGACTTATTGTTATAAATATTTTATTGATAATTGATTAGGGATGAATAACGACGAGGGCACGTTGTTATTATATTGATAATTGATAATTATCAGAAGATACATATTGGCTTTCTTTTGTAGAAATTGCAAGCATATAAAGTGTGCGTTTATGCGAGCCCGCGCGCGCGGTGCTGTGCTGAACATGTATTGTCAGATCTGAATCGTTTCACCATAAAGATTTTGCGGCAAATAAATTTACTTTAGTCTTAATACTTCATCAGTTAAAAAATATGGGGTATTTTTATATTAATTAAAGTACACTTTCAATAAATTAGTTAATTATTTTTAAATTAATACCATCTTTTTATGTTTTCCCTAATTGAATAAGATAAATGTCTTACTTAAAGATAAATGGCTGATTGTTTTATTTATTCAGGGTATTTTTTTAAAAAATTATAAATTACACACTGAAAAATTAAAATATCTTATATTTTTTAACATTCAATCTAAAAAAAATGCCATATAATTTTTAACAGAGGGAGTAACTTGTTTATCACTGCTCTCTGCCTACTACTAAATGGTTTCAATCAAATGAGAATTGAAGCATACTATTAGAAATCCAAATATGAGTGGACTTTAGTTAAAGTGGGGCAAACTCGATTGAGCTTTGAGATTTTGTTATTTGAGAAGTGGCGCCTTTCTATTATTCTTATCCATTTAACCTTTTTTTTTAATTTCCTTCATTTTTGAAGAGTTGCTGCTAAGGATGTGTTCACAGGTTTGATTTGGTTCTAAGAAAAAATTAGATCAAACCAAATCAATCGATTCACTATAATTTAAGATCTATTTTGCCTTTTCCTCTAATCAATTTCATTTTGTTTTTGTGAGGTTTGGTTTCAAGTTTGAACTTTTTTAATGAAATACTCTTCATAATCACTAATATATAATCATGTTTACTAATAATTTTTAACTATTAATTATTATTTGCAATAAAAAAATATTTTGAGCACAAAAGAATATTTTTTAAAATTAATTAGCATATTTAACTACTAAAAAGCAATGTATTGTTTTTACTAAATAACTAAATTTGGAGAAGAGAAAAAAAATTTGACAAGTTTATAAAAGTATATATAATAAATATAATAAGACTTTTAGGCCAAAAAAAATATAATAAGATTTGATACGGTTTAGTTCAGCTTCTAAAAGCAAAAACCTGAATCAAATTGAACCTATCAATGTATGTCCATTTGGTTCAGTCATTTAAATTGAACCTATCAGTCAAAAGAAAAACTAAATCAAACCTCATTTATAATCGGTTTGGATCGGTTAATGTCGGTTTGGTTTAGTGTGATCGGTTTGGATTGGTTTTAGATATCCTTAGATGCTGCTCATTCATAATATGAACTGTGACTTTTATGAGCCCATCTCTCTAGTAATTGACAAATTTTTATAAGAATAAAGTATCAAAAGCCTTTGGAGGTCTAAACAAATCTCCACTAGCTAATTCTTCAAGGGGAGAAGAAATAAAAGCCCAGATTAATTAGCATCTAGAGCATTCTTAGTGAAGTTCAACCTGCTCATCACACACAAGGCTCAGTAATAAAGTTGTTTGCATTGGGTACAGGGGAATCGTAGACAGAACATAGGGAATCAATGTATGTCAATCATAGCCGAGAACCTCAAGAGATCACTCAACTGAGTAATTCTAGTATCGTTTACATTGGCAGAGTTAAAAAACTCAGATCTTCACTTGATTGACATGCATGTTGACCAGAGGCACCACAAAATTTGTAAGCAAATCACAAGATCATCTGCAAAGAATGGTTGGAATAACGTGGGCCCATCCTTAATAAGTCAAATACAGCACCATGCACCACTATTGATTTTATCATAGCTCAAATGATCAAGTTTTTCAGTACAAATAACAAACAGGTAGAGAGATATTGAGTCACTTTGTCTCAAACCATATGAGGGGGAAAATTCCTCAATTTTGCAACCCTCCTAAAGAATATGCGTCTTTGAGGTGGAAAGGCAACTTCTTATGACATTATAACCAGTCATTAGGTATCCTCAATTCTTCCAAACATGCAAGCACAAAATCCTAGCGAATTGAATCATAAGCATTTTCAAGATCAATTTTGATCGCCATAAAACCTTTTTTTTCCCTTCATGTTCTCCAATGGTATTATCCAAGCTAACTCTTCTGGGAACAAAGCTACTTTGATTTGGAGATATATTATGGACAAGACAAACCCCTTGAATCTATGTGCAAGAATTTTCATAACAGCTTTATAGATAACCTTGCACAAATGGGATGAAAATCCTTAATAGTCTCATTATTCTCCCTTTTATGGAGCCAATAATTCAAGTTAAGCTCGACAAGTCAGTCCCAACCCTCCTAAAAAAAGCTAGAGTCAGGTTTGACTATATGAGATAAGAATACTTTAAGCCTGATCCAAATAAGTACAACTATTAAAATTACCGACTCTATATATATATAGAGTCGATAATTTAGGCCAAGTTCGAACCTCCCGAAAAATATTAAAATAGGGCTTGATTATATAATTTTTTTTTAAAAGGTAAGATACTTTAAACCTCATCTAAATAAGCTTAGCTTAAATTGAGTCAGGCTCGAATAAGCCTGCCTGTCCAAATTATGCGCTATACCCTTAGGAATGAGAGCATTAAGAGTACTATTAATGCTGGCAATAGAGTATTCCACTGACCCAAAAAGAAAAGGACATTAAGACCATTCAGGCCCGTAGATTTTAAGGCTCCCATATAAAAAATGGCTCATTTAATCTCAACAGCGTCCTCAGAAGTTTTTTTTCCCCCAGAAACAAACCAGTCATACTTTGCTTTTTGGGGCCATAAGATATTCTCTAGTAGTTGACATTAATGATATTATAATTGGTTTTTCGCAATCATCAAATTTCTTCCCATATCAAGTTGGATCTATCTTGTTTGGATGGAACCGATCCTCTTAGTTGGATTTTCTATTTATGAGTCTTGGGGTGCCCAGCGAATCACTATTAATATTAACGTGAATTAATCACAGCTTCCAACAGCAACTTAAACATACACTGTTTTGTTTACTGTTTAGTAAGGTAATGAAAACTAAACTGATACATTTTATTGAATCAATCAAGACATTTGTTTAACAGTTTATCAGTTCAATCGGGTGAGTTGATTTAGATTTTCATGCTATCTATTTACACATCAAAACAAAAAATATAAAATTAAATTAGTGTGACTTTAAGGATAAAATGGGTAGACAGAATCAGACTTCACAATATTGTGTTCTTTTGATTTTGGATATGTAACTTGAGTGATCAATTGAGCTCACCTTTAAAAGTTTAAATTATTCAGAAAAGAAGACCTTTTTACGAAAGGAAGTCCTTTAGAGAATAATGCAATTGAAGTGGAATATTCCCACTTTGATATGTTAGATTTGCTATTACTGCTTAATATTTTTATGATGGTACCCTTTTTTTTTGGCTTTAAAGAATTATTTAGAATTTTACCTACTACATATAAGTAAAAATAAATTTATTGATTTCTTTATGAAATTGCCTTATCTTTTCATATCAATACTCTAAATATTTTAGTGTTCTATATTTTTCCCTAAAATGACCTAATCGGTGAAGAAAATGATTCGGCCTGCGTATTGGAATTAAGTCAAGTTTCCTACATTATTGTCGAAATAAATGGTAATTCTGTTGAGAGAGAGAGAGAGAGAGAGAGAGAGAGAGAGAGAGAGAGAGAGAGAGAGAGAGAGAGGCTAATTTCTATAGATTGGAAAGTCAAAATAAAAAAGCAAACTTTAGACTAGCTAACCGAACCGAAATGATTCATTGTATTTGCACCAACACACCAAAGTCCAAACAAGAAACACGTGGAATCCAGATAGCTTATTAATCATTAAGGTGTGAATGATGAGACGTGGTTAAATCTGAGATCATGTGATTCATCATTTTGATGAAAACATAACAAAATCAAGAGTTTAATTTATTTTTTTAAAGATCCTTCTAAGAACAATATTAGTTGCAATTAAAGATCTTAAAATTATGAATTGTTAAAAAACAACCACAATTACCAATAAAAGTTGGTTTAGTTGGCCCATAACCCTTAAGATCATGTGGTTAAATCCTTCTACATATGAAAATCTTATTGGTGAGTGATATGTGAGTCCCTCTAAAAATGTTTTTTGAACTTGGAGGGATATCTTAACCTTGATGAGCCTTTGAGATCTAACTCAACTAAATTTTTCTCTTGTAAAAAAAAAATAGTGTAATTAATGTGATTTTTTTTAAATACCCTTATTAAATAAATTATTTTATATTTATTTTTAAGTAAAATACCCTATTAAATAAAGATAAATGTGAAAATATAGTGTTAGTTTAATGATATTTAACTAATTTATTGGGTTAAAATTTTATTAAAAATACCTTATATTTTTAATGGAGGGAGTAGTTGGGATTAAAATTTTTTAATTGAATTTTTTTAGCATTCATCTTCCATATTTTCAGTATTCATTTTTCACATTTTCAATAGA